ATCCTTCTAGAAATTATATACCTAACTTCTCTCTCTCACTCTCACGCACGCACACACGGACACACACAGACATATATGGACACACGCCTTTTTAACCAAATGAGTTCATACTACATAGGTTTTTCTACAGCCAAATTTTATTTTCACTTACTGATGGTCTTTGGACTTCTTTCTATAGCACCATACCTAGATCTAACTTACTCCTTTAAAAAAAAAAAAAAAGAATTTAAACCCATTTTGATGATAATTTAAATTGCGTCTAGTTCTCACTGTTACAGATCGTGCTAGCATCAAAATTCTGATGCATACATACATGTTTACATCTTGTTCAAGTATATCCAAAGGATAACATCCTAGTAAACTTGTGAAAGGATAGAAACATTTTAAATTGTGATAAGTAGTGCCTCCTTGCTATCTTAGATGGTTGTACCAATTTACGTTTCAAACAAATTTAACTTTAAGAAACCAAGAGTTAGAGGCAGTAGAGAATTTAAATACCTTGACCCAAAGTTCTCAAAGTTAGCAGCTAGTAAAGTTAGCTTTCAAACTCAGAACTAACCATGCTATTTTTTCTGAGCTTCAGTGTTTCAGTTGCCATTTTGAAGTATAATTTTGATTAGAAAGCTAGAAAGTATTAATTATATTTTTATCAATAATTTTATACACTTAAGCAATAGTGATAACTCCCACATTATGAATGTATAGCCCTTTATGGTTTTCAAAACATTTTTACATTCGCATAGTAATCCTACCCTGAATTCTACGTGTTGAAGAACTGGGACTCAGAGAAAAAAGCTGAGTATTTTGAAATATAATATAAAGATGGTCCTTAATTAAAGACCTCATAGCTCCCAAACTGCTAAATCACTCAGGACATAAAAATGCTTGCAGAAAAGGTGAAATAGGGGGTATGAGATTAGTGACTCTGAATGTGTTGATATTGGCATGTTCACGAGTAGCAGGAAATGCAGTAAAATATGGGGTGTGGAGTCCATCACACGTTAAGCCAGTGTGTCAAGAATAACTTGGCGTCTGCTTTGGGTGTTATGGCTCTAGGGAGAACAGGTGATTTCAACATGAGCGTCTTTTAAAGTTACTCCTTATTTATTTATTTTATTTAATTTTTGGAGAGGTTTTTGCTATAGGGCACGTGCACTCACCAGAAAGACAGAGCGAGACAGAGAGACAGAAAGCAAGAAATCACCCCTTCAGGGGGGACCAGCCATACTGCAATCCCTTCTTCTCCATTCTCCTCTCAGGATCTTGGGCACACACGCCCAACGTGAGTTTAAGCCACCGGGTCCAGGACTCAAAGCATGGTCAACTACATGGGAGTCTAGCAACATAGCCTTTACGCCAACTGCTGGTCCTAAAGTTACTCCTTATTTTTGACCCAAAACATATTTTAAGCTTCCATCATAAATGCTGTTGTCACTGTATTAATAATCACATAGAACAAATTTGTTTTCAATTCTTAAAAAACAAAGCAAAGTAATAAAAGCTCTTTCTTTATATGGGTTTTAGGGTCCATTCTTGACTTCAGGTTGAAATTTCTCTGCTAAACTTAATCCATTTGCTTTTTTTTTTTTTTTTAAGATTTTTACCATAGGGTGCGTCCATATGCTGGCGAGACAGAGAGAGGGAAAGTGAGACATACTCCTCCAGGGGGGTGGCTGATGCAGTCTCTTCTCCTCCTCTCTCCTTTTGGGATTTTGGGCACTCACGCACATGCAATAGTGTGGTTTTCAAGCCTCTGGTTCTGGGACTCAAACCTTAGTCGGCCTTGTAAGAGTCTAGTACCTTAACTACTATGCCACCTGCTGGCACCAATCCATTTACATTCTTAAAACACTTATTTTTGTTTTCGTTTTTAAATTGTTTTTACTTGTATTTTTTACTTTTTTATGAAGTCAAGTTAATTTTTCTCATTTTATGATTTAAGAAACTAAATCAGAGAAAGTTCGTGTGACTTGCTTCAAATACAAGCCAAAGTCAGAGTTCAGGTTATTCTTTACTATCCACTGGTTCCTACTTTATTACAAGAAGTCTCCAAGTTACAAAACAGGTTGTGTTCCAGAAATTCATTTGTAAGTCAGTTATCTGGCACTTGAACTGCGTTTTACCACAATGGTGGAAAAAAAAAAAAAGGTTATAAATGGTGATTAGGTCCCTCAGCTGGCCTACAAGAATCTACTTAACTCTTGTATAACCACAAAATGATGCATTTGCAATAAAAATAAACGGGAATGAGTTATGATTCTAGTTAGAAAGAAAAAGAAAAATTCTTTTTTCCTGAGAAAAAGCAGGTTTAATTAGAAGATAAGAAAAAAGGATGAAAATTGTGAAGCATCTAGGGGATTTCATGGTACTTTGAAAGGTATTAGAGGTTGATGACACTCTGTGGTAAGCCAAGCTTCACTTTAAAACACTTGACGTTAGATGCTTCTTACTAGTATAACTCATCTAACAGCTGTGGTTAGAGTCGACTGGACTGATTGAATTAAATAGGAAAAAAATAGGCTTTACCATCGTGGGATGATAAAAACAGACCAAGAAACCAGAAGTATCCCTTGCTTCTGTCCTCCTGACAGAGAGGACAGGAGGCATTGTTAATTTTCCCATGCAGCCCAGCAGATCCTGTCAGCCAAGCTAGCTTGGCTGAGGTCCGGAGAGAAGGTTTTAGAGCCTGGATTTCAGGTGGAGGATAGAGAAAATGTGCACCTCCAGTTATTTCTGTGTATGGAGTGTGTGTGCAATGACAATTTTTAATTCTGGGAAATAATTGCGTTGATCTCATCTAGTGATTGCTTCCTATATTATCCAGCATTTAGATAAACATCTTAAATTTCAATTAGCTTTTTTTAAAAAAAAGTCTAGGGCTTCTTTAGATGCCCTTTAATTTATATTTTATTGTTTTCAAGACATTTACATGCAACTTTCTGTTTTGTTAACAAAAGGGAGGATATGGTCTTTCATAAACAGAAGCTAAAATGAGCAGATCTGGCTGAGACGGCACATTTAGGACGTGATAGGGAAGGACTGTGGTTTGAACCTCCTGGCTTGGGGTAGTGCTGTTGCCAGTCGATGTTCCTACCTTGTCTTCCTGCTATTAGGGCAGACATTTAACTGCAGTTGCTTTGTTAGGGGTATTGTTAGAGTATTTTATACCGCACATTTATACCCAAGTGGTTTATTAAAGAAGAGAGCAAATGGACTTACTATAATTCAAAATCCCTTTCGATGGTCATTATAAAAGGAAGTTCAGGATTTTCAGGCCTTTCTCAAAAGAGATGAGACTGTTGAGTGAAGTCTCATCTACTTGATTTTATATTTCTTTTGATGTTGTAAATGTTTTCTCTTTCCACTGGAATAATTTATAGAGAAGTTTTCATGTCTGCATTAATTCCTCCATTTCTCATTGTGTGATATTTATTTAACTGGACTTGTGTGCCTGCTGTCTACGTGTGTGTGTGTGTGTGTGTGTGTTTGAGAAGATTGTTGTGAAAACTAAATAAATTACTCATGCCAGATTTACACCCAAGTATGATGAGTATCTTCTGAGTGCTGAAATCGAAACATCATGCATTCTTTTTGTGTGCTCTGCTCAGAAATGCCTTATTGAATAGTTAGATATTGGTTAAAAAAATGTGCATAGGAATCCTCCTGTGGGTGATTCAGGTTTGTCGGTTAGGTTACCATGTACTCAGACTGAAAGAGAATAATCTTTTTCTGGTGATCTGTGTGTCTATCAGAGGTAGGGAGAGACTGGAGAGAGATTTCTCCAGAAACTGTTACGTCTTTTTAGAAAAATGTCATGCCAGAGGATTAGTGAATCAAATTATAATTTTCTTTTTTTTTTTTTATTGTTGAGTTTCATGAATGAGTTAAATAGGCCAATAGCATTTGATGACCCATTTTTCTTACTGTAAATCCCCAGATTTTAAATGCTACTTTAAGGGTGGTAGAGTAGGCAAGGGGAGAGGGAGGGAGTTGTTTGTTTTTGTTTTTGTTTATTGACTGGACAACCAGCTATTGGCAATTTGAGCATGAAAGGGTTTTCTTGTATGTTGATGGTCTTGACTTTTTGGCAGAAGGAATAGAAATCTTATTTGAAACAAATTTTATTCATAATATTATTCTTCTCATGTATAAGTAATATTAGCTGTAGTATTATATAACATAGAAAAAATTAGTGAATTTTTGGGCAACTTATATGGCATGTTTATTTTTATACTCATTGATTTAGAGGATAAACTTTTGTGCTGATATTTTGGCTGGCAGAATTCTTAGTTTAGCTGGCTAGTTTTTGTTTCCTTTTTATTTATTCTTATTCTGTGGCTTGAGTAACTTAGGAAAAGTCATATGTTCTTGAGATTTTTCCTAAGACATAAACAATTCTTAAAATTATTTTAACTTATACAGTCAACCCGTCCTGTTTGTGGGTTCTTCATCCTGTAATTCAACCAACTGTAGATGCAGAGGGCCACCTGCAAAGGACTTGGGCGTTTGTAGATTTTGGTATCTATGGGGAGTCTGTAACTGGTCCCCTGCAGATATCAAGGGATGACTATGCAACTAATTACTTTCAGAGTGGTCTTTCATTTTGCTCATCCCCCCTCAATCAAAACATGCAAGCATTATACTGTTGAGAAGTTGAAGGATGATACTGGTAACCTCTCTCCAAAATGTTCTAGTTCTAAACTGATACATGCACATCTAGGATGAGGACAGTTAAGAAGGACACTGAAAGGAACCATGTGTGTGGAGGGGTGCTACTCAGTGGCAATAAGAGAGTTCTAAAGGTGCATGAGCAGCTGGAGTAAGGAAAAGGAACACCACCAGTACATTGACTGGTTCCGTTATAGAAGCTGCTGGATCTCCACCACTCACAGATCCTACAAGAACACTCATTTTCAAAGAGCTGTTTTTAAGTATCTTACTTGTGTCTCTCCAGTCTGACTAACTGGATAATTTTAATTTTATATCATCTTCCTTCTCAGGGTCAAGAAATTGGAGCATGGCTATGAGCAATGGAAACAGCGATTTTGTGGTTCTGAGCAATGGCAGCATCACAACCAGTGCTACCAACCCTAGTCCCCTCACCCCCTGTGATGGAGACCTTGCAGCCCAGCAGCTCACACCCAAAGAAGCCGCAAGAACAAAAGTGAGTCCAAATGGATGCCTGCAGCTGAATGGCACAGTTAAATCATCCTTTCTGCCTTTAGACAACCAAAGAACGGCTCAGATGTTACCCCAGTGCTGCCATCCTTGCCCATACCATCACCCTTTGACTAGCCATAGCAGTCACCAAGAGTGCCATCCTGAGGCTGGCCCTGCAGCACCCTCTGCTTTGGCCTCGTGTTGCATGCAGCCACACTCAGAGTATTCTGCATCTCTTTGTCCAAACCATTCACCTGTGTATCAGACTGCGTGCTGTCTTCAGCCCTCTCCATCCTTCTGCCTGCATCATCCGTGGCCTGACCATTTTCAGCATCAGCCTGTTCAACAGCACATAGCCAACATAAGGTGAGTGCTTTGGAAATTTTGCTGGCCTTTAGTGTTCAACTGATTCCACATGGACCTGACTACTGCTTGTGTTTATTTCCCCAAAAGGAGAAGAGAAAAATGTGTTGGGGAAAGAACATAGATGAAAATGCACATTTTGTGTGAGGTCTATTAAAATGCAAATAAAACAATGTGTTTATTTTATTTATTGATTTCTTAAGCCCTCCCTTCCCATCTTCCTACCAGCTGGTTAGAAATCCCTACTATACCTTGAATTATGAAGTTTAGTAAAAAGGTTTATCATTAGCAGTTTCCATTATTGTACATGGGAAATATATTTGTGGTAGGATTACCTAAAGAGTCTTTTTAGACAGGGTCTGACTGTGTTGCCCAGAGCAACCTTGAGCTCCCGATCCTCCTGCCTCCACCCTCTGAGTCACTGAGTCATGCCACTGTATCCAACCCCTCCTTTTTCTTTTTTTGTTTGTTTTTTTTTGCTATAGGGCATGTACGCTCACCAGAAAGACAGAGAGAGACAGAGAGATAGAAAGGGGAAAATCTCCCCACTAGGGGGGATGGCCACACCACAATCCTTCTCCTCCATTCTCCTCTCGGGATCTTGGGCATGCATGCATATGCGCCCGGTGTAAGTTTAAGCCACCAGGTCTGGGACTCAAACTGCGGTTGACTACATGGGAGTTCAGCGACATAGCCATTATGCTAACTGCTGATCCCCCGAACCCCTCCATTTTTTATTATAGTGTATAAATAGGGGACCAGCAGCAGGTGGATGGTGGTTAAAGTGCTGGACTCCCCCATGGACAACTGTGTTCAAGATATAGCAGCTAGCTTTTTCACTTTCTCTCATCAAATTAAAAAAATAATAATAAATAGAATTAAATAAATAAATATTTAAAAATGTTTAAGTAGTTGATTTTAGAAGTATGTAATCATAAATTCTTATGTTTTTAAATTTTATGGGTGCAGAATGTAAGATGAGATAGATAGCTCCACATTTGAAGTTCCTTTAAAAAGTCACAAAGTATTAAAGCTATGGGCAAATAACCAAATTTTTCAGTATGACAGGTTGTGCCAAGATTTTCAGGATTTCAACTTAGCGCTTCTCTGTGACCTAATTGGAAAGCAATGAGAGCCCTCTGTACAGTTTAAATAAAATGTCATTAAAAAAATAAACTGCTGAATGGGTGGCTGAGCTCACCACTGCCCTTGGTCCTGGGTTGTGGATGTCGGGCCTCAGCAGTTATGGTGAACTTACTTCAGATTGTGCGTGACCACTGGGTTCATACACTAGTCCCTAGGGGATTGTCTTTGGAAGTTATCTAGACAGAAAGAATGACGAAAAGTTAACTGCCTTCAGGACAAGAATATGGTCATTAAGAGGGAATTTAAACCCAGTGGAAAAGTTATCTGGAAGTAAAGGCTACAACTGAATCAGAGAATATTCCCACTTTAAAGTTTATGAGAGAAATAAAACGCCTTTTATTATTTAATTTGAAAAAGTATTTAAAAATGATATTCAGGAATCTTTTAAAGAACCCTAGAAGCTATAAGATGGTATAGTACAGCAGAGTACAAAATATGGACAATTCGATGCACATTCGAAAAAATAACTAGTAGAACTATTAACACATGTGCATGTTGCATGCCTTGAAAACCCTTCTGTAGCCCACAAAAATATACATTGATTACATGTACACCAGAAATCATATCATAACTAAATTTTAAAAATAAAGTAAAATAAATCCTCTTTCCCCAAAATATGTCATTTTATCCAACAGAAAAGTTGTAGAAGAAAATGAAGTTTGAATATTAATTGCCAGAGGGCATTTATGTTTACCTGAGAGAGAGAGATAGAGAAAGAGAGAGAGAGGAAGAGAGAGAGAGAGAGGGAAAAGGCACCCTCACTGGGGTGTGGTCACACCATAATTCCTTCTCCTCTATCTCTCCATTCTGTTGGGATTTAGGATACTCAAGCATGTGCGTGCGCGCACACACACACACACAGACACACACACCTGTGCAGGGTCTGGGACTCGAACTGAGGTTGGCCATTGGGATTTAGCTTCTCTTAAGCACTAGTGGCTATGGGGCTGGCTCAAAAATAGAATATTCTGAAGGAAATTTTTTATATTTGGAATTTTATCTTAAGAATTTGAGCTTTTTGAATAACTTTTTAATAGACTTAGAATCTTTTAAAGAACCCTAGAAGCGGATGGTATCTGTCCAGCTGTGTATTGCATACTTACTGGTTTTTAGGAGTTACTTCCCTGTTTTCTACACTTACTTAATTAACAATAGTTACTGAATATATGTGCCTCAGGCATCGAGTATATACTTCTCAACAAGCTTTAGTTTTCATTTATAGATTCTTGCCCTCAAACCCTTTATTCAGCCATTAATTAACATGACTCATTAAGAACACAGGGGAATTCAAAAAGACAGAAAATGATCTCTCCTTACCTTGAGACAAAGTCTGTCTAACAAGTCTTACATCTAGCTGATCATCAGAATCGCCACTGGGAGGGGCCGGCAGGTGGCATGGTGGTTAAAGGCACTGGACTCCCACATGGCTGACCACGGTTGAGTCCTGGACCAGGTGGCTTGCTTTCTCTCTTTCTCACTCTGTCCCTCTCTGATCAAATTTAAATAAATAAATAAAGTTAAATAAAATAATTGTTAAAAAAATGTATCACCAGTGGGAGTGAAAAATAAAATAATAAAAAGAAGACATTTTTTCTGCAAATGGCAAAGAACTCTAAGAGTTCCTAAGTGGGAAGAATCCTTGGCAAGGAGTGGCCCTTGAAGAATGACTAGGAATTAATGAAGGGACTGGAAAAGGCAGAACATGGAGAGTAGGGAAGAGTTGTAAGGGAAAAAAAGCTAGCAAAAATAAAAAATAAGAAGTTAAAAGGTTAAGAGAGCAGAACTGTTAGAGTAGAGAGTCATTTGGGTTGGTCATGAGAGAGAGCTTTTCTTGATTCTGCATCCTGAATGCAGTCCAGTTGTCTAAAAAGCTACATGGTAATGGTCTGTGCTTTATCCTCCAGAAAGCTGGAAAATACTTCGAGCCAGTGGTGTTCCGTGTGTGCTGGTTGAAGCAAGTTTCAAATTATTCATTTGGGATCCTCTTATTGCCACAGTAAAGTGAAAGGGTAATGGTATTATTGCACAATTAATAAGGAGTTCTGCATCCAAAAATAGCATACGGGATTTCTGAGCTAAACCGTACTTACCTTTTTTAATTTGGTGTTGCAAAATAGTCTTGACTGTAACAGAGGACTCTGTAAATGATACTTGGCAATGCCACAGGCTTATTATCATGATAGAGAACCTAGGATATTTTTGAGTATGGGCCAAATGCGTTTTATTTCTCTGGAAGTGATTTCATAGACAGATGGTCACTTTGAATGTTTCCTGTGACCCGCTGGAAGAATTAGAGCTGAGCAGAGTGAAGACTGCTTGACATAGATAGAACCATGGAACCTGGCATGAGCATAGCCCATATAGGTTAACTCAGCATTGTCCCTGCCACCCCATTTGTTTCAACTGTATAATTTTTGTAACCTCTGTTTTCTTTCTTCTTCAGTTCTTTGTTCATTTTCCAATGTCTGAATCTGTTTTCGCCTTAGGACTTAGTTGCTTTTTGTGAGGGGACCTCTTCTTCTTAACAACTGAGGAATAAGAATTCTTGTGTCACCTTAAAAGATCTACCACTTGAACTCATATGCATTTTGTATATGTTGTATCATAACCTCTGGGAGTAAAGTTATAGCTGAGTGTCACTTCCCCAAGTGTCTTCCATTATTGCACCTGGACTGCACTGACCCACCCATCCCCCTTTCCTTAGCCCTGGGTGGTGATTCTGTTTTGTTTAGCCAGGTAATTTGAACCAAAAATGACTTAGAACACTTTATCAACATTGTGACCTGAACCTGGGCATTGATACAGATCCCAGAGTTACCCAGATGTTTCTCTAAGATGTAGAGCAATGAATGGAGAAATTCAAGTTTAGTTATTCACTTTCTTAGCAAGTGTTTAATGAGTACTTACTGTGAGGTTCTAGAAACAAAGGCAACCAAACACTGCAAGCTCTGACTTCAGAGACTTGGAGGTAATGTGGACAGGGTAGGACACTAAGATTTCTGCATGGGCTGGCCGTAGGTCAGTTGTTGTCTTTGATCCATAAATATTCTGAATAACTCTTGTGTTCCCTGGAACATAGACGTTAAACACCAGTGCTTTTGCAGGGGTATAGGCCATACAAAATGAGAATGAAGCTATACGGTTTTACAAATTCATATTCCCCTTTTCCTATTTTAGCATTACATTGTTAGTAATAGAAAAATAATCATGATGTAAATGATTATCTCTGTAGGACTGCTGGCAGGTGACCTTTGCAAGGAACAGTGAAACTGCTTTCTGCAGACTTTGCTATTCAGTAGGATCCAATAAAAATGAAAAAACTGAGTTCTTCAGTTGTATCAGTCACATATCAAGTACTTAATATCAATAGCTTTAGAGGCTAGTAGTGCCCATGTTGGACAGCACAGATGAAAAACATTTCCTCATTGTAGAAAGTTCTGTTGGATAGGGCTACCTTTCTTGGCTCTGTTAAAATAACCAAGATCCCTTTTCAATCTATGTGGCAGCAAAGGGAACTCATGATGTAGAGTAACAGAACTGTCTGACAGTGGATACCCTTTTTGTCAACATAATTCTAGTTAACTAGGGTTTGATTGTATCTTACTTAATACATAACAAAGAAATGGCAAAAGATAAGTCCATTTTCTTAAAAAAAATCCGAAGGACTAAAGCCGTATATTAGAAAAAAATTGTGTAGCAGGTGTGTGATATCTTTTAGAATCTTCTAGAAGCCACAGTTATATCCCACAAAAGTCACTGCACAGCGTTGTTTATATCAATCAAAGCAAAAGTATCAGCTTTTATTTAGTTTATAGTTGCCTGGGCTTTTTGTAAGTAGGTCTAAAATACAAGTGTGA